ACAATACCGGGATTGCATGTACGGCCTTCCAGAAATGCGCCTTGAAGTTTCCGGACACACAGGCCTCCTCTCCAAATCAATGCCTGCCTCATACCCTGAACCTCCTACGGTGCATACTAAAAATCCTGCCTGCATGGCCCTAAATACCTTCTGGAAAAACTTTGTAACCATGGTAATGTAATCTACTGAGGTCATGCTGGTAAGACTCAGACCTGCAATTTTCTCCACAACTCCTATGATAAACGGTGCTGAACTCTCCAGAAGACTCCCTTCAGAGTCCTGACGACCCAAACCTTTGAAACCCATCCAAGACCTTATAAAACATACAAAAAAAAAAGAACCCCCAAAAAACAAGAGATATTCCATTAGGGAAACCAGGGGATAATCCGGAGTTCCAGCTTTGGATCTTCTAGCGGTTGTGGGATAGGCGTGCTGAACCCTAAGCCCTTCAACGCTAAACCCAAGTGGGCCCTGCGTGAGGGTCCTGTTTCATTGACGCACTCGCCAGTGAAGCAGCGGAAAGCGGTGAACATGGCGGCTGGAATTGTGTCAAAGTAGACCTAATGCTATTTGATTTGGAAGTTTTTAAGGCTTAAGGTTTAGGATTTAGAGTCTAGAGTTTACGGTTTAGGGACGAGTCTCGGATTTTAGGGCTTTTGGGGTTTAGGGTAATTTTCTGGGAGCTTTGTGGAGTTAGGTATAAGGAGATTGCGGAGGTTCCTTTCGAAGAAATTGGCATTGCAAGCTAGGGAAGCCTGAAAGACTCGCGTCTGCATCTGCCGAAAGCGCACGTCACACGGCCGCGGCCAGGAGCCGCAAGCGCTGAAAACGGACGAGGCCCCAGAAGTGCCCAGGTTGACCATGCACGCACTATGGCGCGTGGCTTCAGCTTCTTGTTGCCATGCAAAATCAGGTTGCCTGATACAGGTCTCGTTGAAGAAGTCTCGCATGAAAGGGTCGAGGAAATCAAAGGTGGTCTGAAGTGCACCATCACCAGGGCACGCAACCGTTTCCGCAATAGGCCGGAGAGGCATGGCGCCCAGGGGCGACGTGCCAGGATGCCAAATGCCTGCGGGCAGGGCTTGCTCGTGCAGCTACCCGACAACGACCCAGAACAGCGAAGCAGCGAGAATGGTTCAGTTCAACCTCACGCAGAAGGCTCGCGTCCACGACCAAGAAGTTGACGGCCGTGACGCCAGCCAGCGAAAGCAGCCCATCGAAGCAGAGCATCGCGCTGCGTTGAACATAGCAACGCCGGGCCAGCGGCAGCCACAGGATAGGCTCCCGGCCATGGCCCGCCTAGTCCAGACTGTAGATGATGCGGCGCATGGGGCGCTTGCGCGGCAAGAATCGACACATCGGACACGCCCAGGACCCAGGAGCACGAAGTCCGCAGACGCCAACCGCGCTAACTGGCCGGCACAGGCAAAGCTTGTGCTGCGCATCGCGGCAGAGGCGGCCGACAGAACTGCAGAGCCCCACACGGCCACTGGATGCTAGACTTGGACATACTAAGTCGGGCGTACTAAGTAAATGGCTTCCACCACGCGCAAGGCCACCAGCGTGCATGGCTACTCAGACAATTACTCGGGCACCAGGAACGGTCGCATGGAGAGCGCACTCGGTGGAACGAAGCGCAGGACCTTCAGACGGTGCCCGCAATTAAGGGCATCACGTGACGTCGGTGTGGAAGAAGCTTCCTCCGTCGCCTAGAAGGCCAGCAAGGAGAAGGTCTACCCACCCCTGTCCTTCCCAGAAAAAATGGACAGGGCCCTACACCCCTGTCCCTCAAACCTCTCAAAAAGGCCCGCTAAGCGATCTGAAATTTCTTTTCTGGGATCCATTGAAAATGACCTGCCAGCCACTTCCACTAAGGGCTTAGGGGGTCTTAGGGGGTTTAAGGGGGGTTTAAGGTTTGTAGAGTTTAGGGCTTCCGAAGAAACAGGCTTCAACCTCAACCACTGTCACAAGGACCGGAGAGGATAAGATTCTTACGCCTAATCCCAGGAGCTCCCGAGCGAGCACAATTAAAAGCAGAGGCCCTATCTGCGGGTCAGGGGGATTTAGTAAGTATACTTCAAACCCCCTCGGTTATTAAGCTACTTACTGAGTCCCCTTGAACCACTACGCCCTAAACCCTAAACCGCCAAGTACTACCTGAATCCCCAAGTTCTCAAGCCTGGACACCTCCAAACATTGTGCTGCATGCACTTCGGCATTAAGGGTTCAGGGTTTAGGGCACAAACCGATACTTTGTGGACTTTTGGTGACACAGGGGTAACCTACTAAAGAAGGTGGTGGTTTTTATTGTATTTCCAATTATCCCCATGTAGCCCCAATAAAACCTCAATACAGCAGTCTCCATTTTCTTTTCCGTTATCCCAATATAACCCCAATATAATGGTTTTCATTTTATTTTCCATCATCCCAATAGAACCCCAGGGAGGGGTTCTAATCATGTGGGAGCTTCTCGAACTTCAGCTTCTGTAATCCTTGAAACGCCCCCAGCATCCCTGTGTGATCCAAACAGTACCTACGGGTTCCTAAGAATACTGCTATGTAGTCCAACCCTAAACCCGACACATTGCGCCGAGAATCCCTGAATCCTAACCTTAAACCCTATATATGAGCTATAATCTAAGCTCCTAGTATCCCCTTTAATAACCCCTATAATACTCCCCTATATAGCCCCCTTTAGGGCGTTTAGATTATGGCTCATATGTCCCTGGTAGATGCCCTTCAAAGGAATCCTTAGTCAGGCCCCTGGGTGATGAGCCAAGATGCCTGAAGACCCACGTCCGTGGTTAGCTGGCTGCTGCCTACACGGAGACTGCCAGAAAAAGGGTGTGCTTTTGTTTGGGAGCCCCAGAATAAGCCCTGAAACTTAAACCTGAACCCTAAACCCTGACCCTGAAACCTAAACACTGCACCCGAAACCCTGAACCCTGAACCTGTTGGGTTCCATTTTGGGGCTCCCTGTTTATGGAACCTACCACATCTGAGCAAGGGTCTAATGTTTACGAGACGAGGATTCGAACTTTCCGAATCTGCCCTAGGACCCTCAGAAAAACAGTTTAGGGTTTGGGGTTCAGGGTTTAGGATGCCGAGTTTATAGGGTTCAGAGTTCAGAGCACAGGGTTCAGGGTTTAGGTTTGAACTAAGCTTCAGCTGTTCTGGCAGAGGCTGGTTACAATAAGCAGAAACTAGAAACTGTGCTCAGGAAATCCCTAGTAATCAAGCCATGAAAGATAATCATAATTCATAATCATACGAAAAATCATGATATCACTATTATGATGGCAAATAACAAACCAAAAAACTAGAAGTTATCCTCATAACCTCTTTAAAGGGGGATTGTTATAGGGGCTATATTGGGATAGTGGAAAATAAGATGGAAACTCCTATTTAGGGTTCAGAAGGGATGGTTTATATCAGGCTTTGCAGAGTTCAAGGCTCTTGGAGTGGCGTTTCGGGCTTCGAAGGGTTCAGCGCTCAGGGTGTAGGGCTAAGGGCTTGGGGGCAAGGGTTTTAGATTTCAGGGCTTAAGAAGAAAGGCTTGGGGCTTTGGAGGGTTATAGTCCCCCTTAAATAGATAGAATATGGGGTACATAGGGATCTTCTCAGAACATACTCAAAGCCATATTCTATCTACTGAAGGGGGACTATAGAGGTTTCATGGTACCTGTTTCCTCTCGTCTAGCAGTCACATGCGTTGTCACACAAGGTCCTGGCACCAGCTCGCCCCTGGTTTTGTAGGGCTTCACAGCCGGCTGCTAGCTCCACCCGGATTTAGGGTGAAGGGTTTAGGGTTTAGGGGTAATGGAAAAAGAAATTGGAAACTACTATATGGGTGGTTGTCAAAATAATGGTCCCTTTTTGGATCCCTATTATAGTACGGCACCTAATATTTAGGGTACCCCAAAAAAGGGACCATAATTTTGACAACCACCCATATTATAATAGGGTTTAGGGTTTAGGATATGCACTGCAACTCTTTCTCCTAAACCGCAGTTACCTACTGTAGAGGTAGCACATCTTCCCCAAACAAGAACGGAAGCTGACACTTGTCTAGTCTTTAGTTTGGGGCTTCTGGTTTAGGTTGTACTTGGCTCTTTGCCCAGAGAGCCTCACTGCCAATCCTTCTTCCATTAATTAAGGGAAACTCCTTAAATCGGATGTTGGATCCCCCAAATCCCAAAACCCTAAATCCCTGAACCCTAAATCCCTAAACCCTCATTCTATGATAAAGGTCATAGTATTTGGGGTCTATGTTGAAGCCCTTAACCGTAAGCCCTTAACCCTACATCCTGCCCTCAACCCTAAACCCTAAAACTCTAAGCCCTTAACCCCACATCCTGCCCTCTCGATTTCTAAGCAGGAAGCCTCACAGCCTGAACACTCATCCCGTGTCCTCGCTCTGGGAACCAAACTTCTCTGGCAATTATTCCCTATAAGCCTAAACCCTAAACCCTAAGCCATAAACCCTAAACCCTAACCCTATAACCCTAAACCCTAAACCCTTTATGAGCCCCTACGCCAGCCTGGACCCTATTCCCTAAACCCCTATACATCCCTATGATCGCCTTTAAAGTCAGGTCTACAAACCACTATATGAGCCCGGACTCCATTCAATGGTCGATTCTATTTTCCACGTGAGTATCCACTGCTTGGGCAATATCCCTTCAACTTCTTGCAATCTACCGTGGCTCTTCTTCTGGAAATGGAAACGAAGATGGAAGCTACTACCAACAAATTACCTAAACCCCAACATGCAGAGCAACGGCCTTGGTGGCTCTTTTCATGGATTTTGGATGTTGCATTTCTGGATTTAGGATTTAAGGTTTAGGGTCTTGCACAAGTATTTCACCTACATTCAGGGTCCACATGAGAGGTATAAATTTACAGTTTAAGGTTTGCCTGTTGCACCGGTTGCAGCAATGTTCAGCTCCTGACACACTTCGCAGCCCCTTTTCGCGTCTGAGGATAATCATGGTTTGATGCTACCCTTCAAAGGACAGCGGCTTCCCTTTGGGAACTTGCGCTGCCTGAGGGTGCTGAAAAGTCTTGCAAGGGCAATACGACTGTATTCTGTACAAAGCCCCCTTTGGGGACAGGAAGTGGAGGTGATCAACCTCGAAAACAATTATCATTATGGTGGTGCCCAGCGCCAGAAAAACCAACTGCCAGAACTGCAGGGATTTCCAGAAGCCCTGCCCAGCAGTGGCAGCCGCGGCTGCTGCGATGATCAAGGCCCGCGCGATCCAGTGGCCCCGGTAGTGGCGTGCGAAGCGCTGGAAGTGGCCGCTCATGGTTCGAAGGTAGATTCCGGCACAGAGTCGCATGATCACATCCCCCAGGGTAATATGGCGAGGGATGATTGAGAGGCCGCTGAAGAGAAGAAAACCTAGCCACCCAAGCTCACGGTAGACGCAGATGCCCATGCCAGTGATGACGTCCATGTTTACGGGGCATGCGCCCTTCTTAGACGGGTCCGGCTTTAAGGGCCTCTCACCGAAAAGAATGGCCTTGAACCAGCCGCCGCCCGTGTGCGCCGCAAAAAAACCGAAACTCACAAGGATCACAGCCGAAGACGCCATGAAGTGACGATAGCTGGTTACGCCCAGGCTCAGGAGGTCTAGGCTGAGGTCGGGAACATCAAGATCCTCGCTGTGCTATATATATATATATATAGGATTCCCATAGCTAGGAGTCCCTCTTTGGGGTACCAAGAATAAGGATTGTAGTATTTGGGGGTCTATATTGGGGTCCCCCTATCTTGGGAAACTGGGTGGTTGTCAAAATGATGGTCCCGTTTTGGGTACCCTAAATATTAGGTGCCATATTATACTAGGGATCCAAAAAGGGACCATAATTTGCACAGCCACCCATATACCCAAATGTAGCCCCTGCCCAAATATACTTTCAGGTGAGCAAAGCAGGCGGGAGTTCTAAGGTGTTACCCCTTCGATTGGTGCCACTGCATTACGTATATAATGCCTATAATATGGGTGTTTCCCAAAATTAGGTGTACCTTTTTGGGGGCCCCATAAAAAGGACTATAGTATATTGGGGTCTATTTTGGGGCACCCATGATTTTGGGAAATTACCATATAGCCTATATACCCCTAATTCATCCTACGTAATCCCTTTATGTCCCTCTGTAAGTCTAAACCCTTAACCCCGTTTAAGTTGGTACCCTGCGCTTCACGGTCCTTTCTAAGAAGCCTCGGGTTTTGGCTTTAGGGGCTCTGCGCTCCAAGAGGGAGAGTCCTTGTAGTTCCTCATGAAGAGATGCAAAGCAAGTGCACTGGTGAAGCTGTACACGCGGCGCCCCCACGAACCGAAACCGCGCTGGATGGCTTTCTTGACAACACCTCAGCTTTAGGGTTTTGGGGTTCAGGCGTTTAGGGGGCTTGGGGTTTCGGGATTTACGGCTTAGGGTTTGGGGAAAGAAGCTGAGGTTGCCCAAAAAAAGGTGGTACCGACGTTATAAACAAACTAACAGCCTAGACCTGAGGACTATGGACCCTAAACCCCAAACCCTGTAAACCCTACACCCTAAACCCTAAGCCCTAAACCCTACAAACCCTAAACCCTCTGGTCTTGGAAACCATGGTCCCCTTCCCGGCTACCATTACAATATGCCCCCTCATACTTCGGGCACACCAAAAAAGACCACGCCTCGTCTAAGCGTCATTTTAAGCAACCCTACAGACAGGGGTTAGGTGTACTCATACGGTGGATACTAAAAATCCTGCATGACCCTAAATACCCTAAACCTTGGGAATAATGGTACTATGGAATACTAAGGTCATGCAGGATGTTTAGTATCAACAGTATTACCCAAATGGGGGATGTATAGGAAATCCCTTAAGTACACCCAACCTCTCCTGGTGCCTCAGCGGACGGTAGGACCCCTCCCTAACAGCTAAATCTTTAGCACTTTTTTTTTCGTGGCAGCGCCAAAAATTAGGACTAAGAGCCAGGCTAACATCAGTCAAGCCGCTATGCTGGAAGATGAAGAGCGCGGCCAGGGGAACGTTCCAGAGGAAATATGGCACAGCGCATTGCAGCAAAGATGTTGCTCCTAACCAGGAGCACCCCTTGGGGTCCTAGAACATATGCGCCATAATCTGGACTCCTAGTATCCCCCTTAATAACCCCTGCAGTAGTCCCCTATAGAATTCTTTATATAACCCCCTTTATGGAGTTTAGATTATGCCTCATATGCGGTTCAAGGCTCAAGGTTTAGGCTCGAGAGGTGCCTGCACTTTAGGAGCCAAACTGATATCTAGAGACTTTAGGAGGGACCCCTAACAGGGACCTTTAATCCCATGACCATACATAACCCTTATATAGTCATTATATAAACCCTATATCCCTAGGATGTCCCCAAATTAATCCCCATAAGCTACAAGGGTCCCTATTAGGGGTCCCTCCAAGATGATATCAATCACCCTAAACCCTAAACCGCGTTGTAGTGTCTCTTGGACCAGCTCCCCCCCCACAGTAACAGCTCTCACAAAGAGGTAATAGGAGCTAGTGAAGCCCTTTGGTTTGGCAACTTTGAGGACTGTTAGTATACTAGGTTTAGGGTTTAGGGGGAATGGCCCAATCTTTCTCAATACAATCCCATCCCTTCAAGGCATTTTAGGAGGGTGAGGATGGGTGCGGTTTTGTTGCCCTGCTCCTAGGTGCGCGTCACAGGTCAAGAGACCACTCGGGTGCCCTCCACCTGGGCAGTTGTAAAATCCCCTGAAGAGGTTGGAGGTTCAGGGTTTAGGGTTTCGGGTTTAGGGCTTAGGGTCTAAGAGTCTAGGGCTTACAGTTGGTTTCAGGGTCTACGCCTTCGGGATTAGCATCCCCCCCTGTGCAGCTTCCCCTCCAAAAACTCCGAAAGAAAAACAACTTTATCACAGAGGCTCCAAACCGTCACTATTAAAGGGATACCCTAAACCCTACACCCTTAACCCCAAATCCCAAAACCCTAAACCTTTTTGCGGGAAACCCACCTGGCAGCCAGCGGCTTATGCTGCCGAAGCCTATCTGCTCAGCGTCTTCACCCAACTTGGCACTGAATATGATGACCCCAAGTACCAGGTAGCTGGTGTAGAGGTCCAGCAGCGTAGCGCAAATCTGACTCCAGGTCATGCTGAGGGACATGAGCGTTTCTCAAAAAAAGGGTGCCGGTCACGGACCCCTAGAGATATAAGGTGGCAACTATCCCCTGAGATTCTACACCCCAAACCCTACACGATCATTTTGAGAAACTCCCACGTACATCCTACCTCGCCCCCAGCTTGGCAGCTTGGGCCCTGATGCTGCAGCCTTGATATCACAGCGTACGAAGTAGAGAAATGTTCAGGGTTTAGGGTTTAGACCTAGTTGCCCAGCCAGCTTATAATCTATAATAGTCTTATTATACACTCCGAAAACCAAAAACAAGGTATAATCTTACTCCATTGTCAGGGGGCCCACCATATTCCCTATACCCTAACCCTAAACACTGACCTTGATCAGCTAGCTAAGTGTGCCAAAACAAGGTAAAACAATGTCCAAAAATAGATATATGACTAGGGTTCTGGGTTTGGGGTATAGCGGTCTGGGGTCTAAGATTTAAGGGTTGAGGGCCTGGGGTTTACTCTGCACTAAACCCAAACCAGCGGATGCGCATATTCCTTGAATCATATTCGAAAACCCAGAACCATGTAAAATTTAGGACATACCCCCAAACCCTAAACCAACCCTAAGCCCTAAAACCGTAAACTTGCAGCCCCAGAAGCCTTAAACCCGAAGCCCGGAAACCCTCAGCCTTCGGGCCGATAGGCTACATTGAGTTCTGAGTTTAGGGTTAGGACCTCATTACCCAGGTACTAGGTGAAGAATAGGCAAGAAAATGAGAACTACTATGTCATTGGGGCTTTAGCCCGTTTAGCATTTACGGTGTAGGATTTAGGTTTTAGGGTTGGAGGGTCAGGGGGACTTAGCAAGTAGGTCAGTCATGGGGGCAAGTAGGTCATCATATGGCTTTTAGGCGTGATTAGTTAAACTACTTGCTAAGTCCCCCCCCCCCCCCGACCTCCAAGCATCGTGTAAGGAGATATTTTACGAAACCAAAGCGTAGCCTAGAATGGATGGTACGGACCGTAAACCCTAAACCCCTAAACCCTGAACATGACTTAGACTTGCATGCTTGACTCCCTAAAACCCCAGGCATGCACCAGTTGCGAAACCCAATCCTAAACCCTAAACCCTACACCCTAAACCCTAAGCCCTAAACCCCCAAACCCCTTCGCAGCCTATGGTCATCGTCGCAAAGCCCGAGATCACATAAAGGACCACGAAGAGCAGTGTGAAGGCAAGAGCCAAGGTGCGGATGCCCGCAATCCTGGCTCTTCTGCGTTGCTGCTGAGGAATTTAAATTAAGTTACCATCGGCACATTTAGTAAATAATAGGGTCTGGGTATACTTCTTTCTAGATAACAGGGTTTCCCCAAGTAACTGAAATTTAGTTCCTTTTCAGCAACCCAGGTTTCAAATAAAGCGAAAAACTTTCCGAGGTCGGTTTAGCGTTTAGGGTTTGGAGTGTCTCAGTGAGGGGGTGCGCTGGTGCTGGAAGCACCCAGGCGCGCACCCTGACCTGCAGGAGCCCACCCCCGATGGCGCTCCACCCTTGCCTCGACCTCGACGGGTGTGGGGGCTCTCTCGAACTCTGATCGTGTTCCTGTCTTCTTATTTGCTTTTTGCATCTGTCTAGACCCGGTGGGTGCACGGTTTGGGCTGGGTGTGGTGCGAGGCTTCTTGTGCGTATTGAGATTGAGCCTTGCCTGGAGCCTTGAACCAGGTGGATCTGGCCAAACTAGACGGGTGCAAGGGATCTGGCTCAAAGCCTCTAGTTTTCTTCAGATGGCACCCTGGCTGGATGCCTCCAATCATGAACAAATGGACCTATCTAGGGCAGGTGGATGCAAGTTTAGGCTGTCTGACTCGAAGCTTTTTGCTTCTTCAAGATGGAGCTTTGGTTGGAGGTCGTCAAGGCTTGAGCCACGGAGGCCTGTTCACGCGGGGTTTGGGTTTAGATTTCATCTAGCTCGAGGTTTCTTCGAATCAACCCCTTAATCACTTGTACCTGTCAGTCTGGGAGGCTGTGGAAGTCATTGAGCTGGGTGCCCCGGAGCCTTGAGAGGGCCTGGGAGCCCTGAGAGCCCAGATATGACTCTGTTTAGGGTGTAGGTTAGGGTTTAGGGTTTAGGGTTTAGGGTTTAGGGTTTAAGGTTTAGGGTTTAGGTTTTAGGGTTTAGGGTTTAGGGTTAGGGCTGATACTAGAACATCCTGCATGACACTGAAAAAGTTGGGTGTTCTGGTACTGTAGTATACGTTTAGGTGGACCCCCCACCCAGTAATAGTGACTATAAGGGATAAGAAGGATTATGTTGGGGTCCTCTTATATTCCTACTATACCACTATTGAAGTGTCAGGGGGGGTCCTCCTAAAGTATACTTATTTCACAAATCCATTGCTCATCAAGGCACATGGGTAAAGAGCCCAAGGCTGTAGAACTAGTTTAGAGATTTTCAGTTGAAGCATTTATGTGGCTTAGGGTTGCTTTTTTTGCGGCTTATGGGTTTGAAGAGGGTCTAGGAATACTTAACAATTTTGCTAATTCATGTACTCACATGCAAAACTGAAATGAAGCAATTTCGGGAGACAAACCGCCGTTTGAGCCACAGTCTGAACTCCTAGTATCCCCCTCAATAACCCATAGTTGCAATCTCTTTTCCATGTGATTCTCCATTTATCGGTACCTTAAATATACCCCCCCCCAATCTAATCACTATTTACCCCTAAACCCTAAACCCTAAATTCCTCAATCCTAGGCCCTGAGCCCCAAACTCCGGTTCCGGACGAGTAGCCAGCCCTTCACCATCAGGCGCAGATCTCTCATGAACTTCAGCCGAAAGACCTGCTGATTTCAACAGGGTGTGGGGTTTAGCGGGGTTTAGGGTTGTAGGGTTGTAGGGCTTCAGGGTTTTAGGGCTTTAGGGTTTTAGGGTTTAGAGTTTAGGGTTCGGGTTTAGGGAATGGCGAAGGACATGGTGGAGAGCCAGCTGCAGCTGGAAAAGACAATGTACAATGAAATTTCAAGTGGCATTGTGTAGTGGTTTATAGGGACTGTTTCTGGGCAGCTGTCTAGGGTATAGATGGTATACCCTAAACCCTAAATCCCGAAGGAGTATAGAGCTTCGAATTTAGGATTTATGGCTTGCATCCTGGCACTCTCCTCGGAGGGCCCGGAGCTGGATCTGATATTCATCCCTGTAATATATGAGCTATAGTCTAAACTCCTTAAAAGGGGGGCTATGTAGCGGATAATATTCGGGACTATTACAAGGGTTAGTAATGGGGATACTAGGAGTGTAGACAGTAGCCCATATAAAACTATGAAAATTCTCATATTGACTGTTTGTTCCATCCAGAACCAGTGAGTCCACCCTAAACCCTAAAGCATAACACCTACACCCTAAACCCGAAACCCTAAACCCCAAAAAACCAAAGCCTATACCCCAAACCCTAAGACCCTAAACCCCCTACCCTAAAGCCCTAAAGCCCTAAACAAACCCACGGCTCTAACTCCCGGGCCTTGACAATGCGCGCAAGGCGGATGAGACGACAAAATCGGAGCAGCGAGGCCCCTGAGCTCGGACTTCGTAGGCTTTTTAGGAAGAAAATGGAAACTATACGGTTTATGGGGACTATATTGGGATTATATTAGGGTTCTACTAGGATTATATAGGGATTATATAAGGATTACATAGGGTTTTTTTTGGGTTTACATTGGGGATTAGATAGGGATGATGGAAAAGGACATGGAAACTACTATAATGGGTTATACAGGGTTTAGGCTTGGGGTCTAGCGTTTAAGAGTATAGGGACTAGCGATTACGGTTCAGGGATTGGGGTTTAGGGTCTAGGGCTTAGGGATTAAGGGTTTAAGGTTTAGGGTCTAGGGATTAGGGTTTACGCATTAGGGTTTAGGGATTAGGGTTCAGAGGTTTAAGGTTTAGGGTTTAGGCATTAGGGTTTAGG